TTCACTTCTGCTGCTGCGGGGGCCACTGCACCGGCTGCTTGATCTGCTGCTGCTGCTGGCAGGGAGCGGGGGCCACCGGCACCTGCCCGGGCACGGTGACCACGGGGCACTGGGGAGGGAGGACCACCACCGGCGTCACATCCTGCACGGCGCTCACTTCGTGGCAGATGACCTCCTCGGAGCCATGGCAGGACCTCTCGCTGTCGTGGCAGGGGGAGCCTCCGCTGTGGGAGGGGGGGGGTCCGCTGGTTTGTGGGTGCTGTGGCAGCCTCTGTCTCCACGGGAGCACATTTTTCACTTGGTGTGGTGAACCCTGGGAAGGAGAGACCTTTGTTGTTAGATGCTTGAAGGGCAGCGTGCTTTCCCCACTCTGCTTTGGGTTCAGATTTCCTTGATGTATTTATGAGCCTGCCTGGGCTCGGCAGGATTTGCCTGTCTGCCTGTCCCATTTCCCCAGCTTGGGGCTTTGTTCCCGCAGTGCTGGATCAGCCCGCACCATCTGAATGCCCTCATGAGCCCCCCCAGCAGCCCTGATCTCCATTTCTGCTGGGCTCTGTGAGCCGTTTCCCTGCTCTCCCTTGATGCACCCCATGAGCACTCATGCAAGTCACCCTGGGATCATCTCAGGGCTGTGTAACAGACGAGCAGATGTGCTGTGGGCTGCCAGTTTGTGCTGCACCGGCAAGAGGCATCTTGGCAAGGGTCTGAAAAACTTGCAGCCTAGAGGGGCCCTGGCACAGCCGGTGAATTTACAGCCACTGTGGTGTTATTAGAGAGTCAGCAAAATACACTTTCAAAGCCAGATGCTCAAAATGAAGAGACTCCTGTGCCTTCCTCCCTCTTCATGTTCTCTGCTCCCTTGGTGCCCTGCGGACCCTTGGCTGGCCAGTGCCCAATTTTCTGAGGCATGAGGAAAATCCTATGTGCATACCTAAACCTCCTTCTGAGGAGAGCTGAGATTTCAAGAAGGCAGAAGGCATCCAGGATGGGGCCAGCTGAGCTGAAGGCTCTTCATGCTACTCCTTCCTCTCATAGTTTAAATCTGCCTTCTCAAATCTTCCCTAAATTTCTTCAAGGACAGCTTAATACTTTCAACTCCTGAAGATTTAAATTTTCCAAAGGAGCTTAGTAAAGGAGTCAGGCTCATAACTGCAATTAAAATTCCCAACTTAAACCCGAGGTTTCTTGTGAAACATCAGCCTGCTGTCCCCCATTCATTCGCAAATCCCATTCTTTACTTTTTTATTTCCAGTTTCTCCTTTGGAATCTAGGAAACACGAGCACTGAAGTAATCCAAATATATCTACATGTGATAAGAGCAATAAATTTTGCTTCTTAGTATAGGCAGTCTTGAGATCAATTTTGATAGTGCAAAATTGCCCTAGCCACCAAGGCAAGAACTTGGCTCTCAATAATCCCAGCACCTGCAGACAGACCTGTCTTTGTCAGAGCATAGTTCAGCTCGGTTCCGAAAATGTTCATAGGAATGAAATGTTAGCGGTGTAGTAGCAACTTACCTTGGCTATGAAGGCTCTGAAGAAGGAGTGGAGCTGAGTGAATGAGGTGCTCTCCCATCCGAGAACTTTTATATGGTTCCTAACTCTCTTCCTGAAAATGCAATAAACCCCTGGGGAAAAATGACCAATGTATTTACAAAACAGCCACACCTCTAATTATCCACCACCTTCAAAAGCTTATTCAACCCGATTTCTTTGATTGACTTGTCATACAGTAGATTGTCTTCCTTGTGTTACACAGCTTTAATTGCCACCCTGCCCCTGCAGGTTGTAATGCATGAAGAGTGAAAACCGTGTGGGTGGCTTGACTGTCTCACCGTCATGCCAGGATGAGTTTTATATTGCAAAATGGATGGCAAAGGTGGTGCTTTTTTGCATTTCTATTCTCCTGAAACCTCTCACCCAACTCTGGCAGGCACGAGAGGTCATGATGCCCGATCACCTCTAACTGGTCTTGGCAGGACCAGGGTCTTGCGCAGTGGGCAAGAGCCACCACTTTCAGGTCTGCGCCATAAAAAATGGCAAGTTTTTAGAAAGTCCTCATCACGTGTCCTCTGAAAACATCTTTAAAGTTGTCTTCACTCTGTAAGACACCTGCAGGTGCCAGAAGCCTAGCAGCCCCTCTCGATCTTCTCTCTCTGACTGTGTCATTTCCCAGAGCAATAAAACCAGGATAATGAAACCTGTGGCCACTGTGGCAGGCTCCGAGAGCTACAGCTGGAAAGTGACCTGACAAAGCCAGGTAGCCGTATAGGCCACTTTTGGAAGTGTTGGCTTATACCTGTGAATACCCCGAAAATGTAGTGCGATTTCTCTACCCATGTCCATCTACTTCATGTCTGATGTTATAGTCATTTCACTGATATTGGCATAGTTACCACTAATTTTAATTGCTGACATTTTTCCTGGCCAATACCAAGAAGACCTGAATAGAATTGCTCTTTTAAAATGTCTGTTTTTCTAACATTTTAATTTTTTTTTGTCTGCCTCTGAAGCAGCCGTTTTCCGTGATGGGAAATGCGTGCCTACAGAAGCCGCTTGGGCAAACCTTGCATTCATGAGTAAGCAGTGAGTAAAGCGCTAGCTCAGAGACCACGTACCCAAGCTCACCACGCATCTTGAGCTCACCCAGCTCTTCCCTGGGGCGGGACAGGTGCACCCTGGGTGCAAAGCAGCGGACTGCTGCAAGTCTGGGGCACTTGCCTGGCCCTGGTGCAATCAGCTGTGCAACCACGGCTTTGCAATAGCCCCGGTTTCTCCTTTTCCCTCCCATTAGCAGTTTGACTGTGCAATCTCAGCAGGGCTCTCTCTGTGTTTTTACTCATTTTGCATCTTAGCTCCCTCTGCAAACATGGGAGTCACAATGTTTTTTTGGGCAAAGATCGACTGAACATCTGAAGCAGAGGGGTGGCTCCCACTTGCTATCTCTAAAACAATTTCTTTAGTTTCTATCCAGAGGCGCCAGTTAGTGACTTTCATCAAGAAGCCAGATTTGTGTTTACCGTTCAGCGTGCCTGTTTACAAACAGCCGAAGCAGAGGGGATACGGCTTTTGCAAGCACTGACACGCTCGTGGATGAGTCTCCTGCATTATCACTGTTGTCAGCCATGAAGGATGACTCGTTCCTCCCCGTTGCACAACGGGTGGGGAGGAAATCTGCATGTGCAAGTGCGCATGTACGCGCCCATGTGTAAAACCCAGCCTCCGCCTGCTCCCAGCCTCATTCTGGAGGTGAGCTGCAGCTGCTCCAGGGTGCAGAGAAAGGCAGTGGGATGCAGCCCCAGCTCCTCGTGTTCAAGCTCTGGATGCAAAAGCATCCTCCTTCTCCCCTGGGTCTATTATACTATTATATCATCTAGCTCGGTTAACATCTAAGCTTGTGGAGTGCTTTTTGATACAAGCCTCAAAGAACCAGCCAGGTGGGACAGTGAATAAGAAATGTACTTTTAAAGTGCTTTCTATTTTCTTTTTTTTTGGGGGGGACGCTGAAATTTTGGGATGGTTTTTGGTCAGTTAGTTGAATAGACAAGAAGTTTTTGAATACTCCAAACACTAATTGGTTTTCTGGAAGTCTCTTGGAAGTTGTTTGAGCTTTTTGAGTTCTTTTACTACCTTTGATGCTATCAGATGAAGTAGAGAAAATAACAGAAATCAATAATGAAGTGGTAGATTTTAGAAATATAGGTAGATGCAAATAAATGATAACGCTGTCTAATTTTAGAATGGAATTTAATATGGCTGGCGACAAAACCTTATGCAATGTTCCCTGCACCACAGTCTTACAACATTTTACAGCGTGAAAGATACCCGTTGTGGCACCAAACACAGGGCTAGAGCTCAGAGGATTTTGGTTTTTGTAAGCTGTGGTGTTTTACAAACATCAGGGCAAAGTTTTCTGGATTTTTATTGAGCTGAAAGGGTCAAAATCCCCACAGGGGTGTGAAGACAGCAATGGTAAAAAATATTTTACAATGTAATTTTATGCCCTTTTGTCTCCTTTTAAATGGGCACAGATCTGTGGTCATTACCAATATTTGGAGGAGTCAAATAACCCCAGAGAACAGTCCCAAAACACTAAACGTTTGGCAAATACGTCGTAACAACCGGCACTGGAAGTTCAAGCCTCCCCCATGCTGTCCCATCAGCCCAGCACAGAGGAACCATCTTCTCCCTGTGCCTAATTTAGGGCCTGATCCTATCAAAAAATGTCATGAAGCAGGTTACTGCAAAGAAGTGAACGAGCTTGTTCGAGTTGCCTCATGCCACTGGTGCAAGCATAAGGTTTACGTGCTCTGGCTTACAACATCACCTGCAATCTCTCTGGGACAGGAGCCTGGCGTGTAATTGTTTCCAAATAAACAACCTTGCACTCCCAAGGTCACGCTGTAAATAATAATCTGTCGGAAATCACCTGGGAGTTTTGCATATCTCCTTAACATAGCTCGCAGAGTCTGGCCTGTGTACCCATGCAGAGGGTCTCAGCAGGGCACAGCGTTTCCATTTGATGGGAACAGCATGGGGGAAGTTCTGACTTCAGCAAGAGCAAAATTAAGAACCTTCTCTTGCTGCTGAAAACGATGTATTTTAATTCTATTAAAATAAATATTACATTTGAGTATAGTTGTAAAATATATATAAAAAATGTTGAAAGATAATTCTTGTGTTGTGAAGTAGACTCCTTGAGTATCTATCTGTATTTTGAGTGAAGGATCCAGAAATTAAAGAAATCATTCAGATACTGGATTTCCCACAGACTATGAAGTTTTATTTTCCAACCCATGAGGAAAAGGAGATGGAGAGAAGAATCTTTTCCCGACACCAAAGCACAAATCATTTTTCCCAGCAGTGTTTGCAGCAACGTTGCTAGCACAGCCCAATGCAAGGAATGCAGAGCTCCCTGACTGTAATGACACCGTTGGGGAAAAGCCGCATTGTGGCACATCCAGGGCACTTTTGCTTGAGCAGGGGTGGCTGCTGGGTCAGTCACTTCTTCTGGCTGGGGGGCCAGTGGCTGGTCTGCTTGCTCTGGTTGGCCTCGATGTTGGGAACGACCACGGGACATTTCTGCTGCGTGGCCTGGGAGGATCCACCGCCTCCACAGCTGAGCTCTGGGCCTGAGCATCCCCCAATGCCATAGCCCAATCCTCCGCTATAGTACCCTGATCCACCACTGCCCCCACTTGTTAAGACCATTTCTCTCGGTGATGCATCGTATCCATATCCTGAGCCTCTTCCCGCAGTGATGCCCAAATTCCCACTGTGGCGGCTGGATCCTCCACCACCCCCTGAGCTGCCAGGGGTGTTCTCGCCTGAGTCCTCACTGCTGCACCCTATTCCCCTTCCAGTGCCGTAGACTGAGACTGTTCCCCTTGCAGTGCCCCAGCCAGACATCCTCTCTCTGTCATCGCCGGTTATTACAACAGATCCATCACCGCCACATCTGTACCACCCTGCAGCATCGTAGGTGGATGATGCTGGCATGGGCTGGCAGGACGAAGCTCCCCGGTTGTAGATGACTGAGCCTTCTCCACCACAGAAGAAGGAGCCATGTCCCTGGAGGCTCGACAAGCCCCTGCTGCTGCTGTAGCCTCCTCTGTGGTGCGAGATCTCATTGTTGTAGCCCCTGTTCCGGTGGGGACATCTCCCTCGGAGATAGCGGTAAATCTGAAAGAGGAAAAAAAAAACTAAAAGCTGCACTGTTTTGCTTAATTTTTGCACCATGGGAGGTGAGGTGGCTGCAGGTGGTGTGGTCAGAAATGCAATGCCAGGCTTCAGAAGAGGGCACTGCACAGCTGTTCTTCTAATGCAAGAGTATTTTGACTCTTACTGGGATAGCTTTTCTCTTTCTTATCTCCAGAGTGTATTTCCAGAGAATCAAAATCTGAAATATATTCTTTTAACATCTAATAACTGCCATGTTTTTCCCCACTCATCTTCATGACCATCACCACAGAGCTGTAAAAATAGCAAGGATTATCTTTGCTTCTGTTTTTAAACTGCTGCAAGAGCGGTGGGTCAAAATTTCCATGCAAGATGACACTGCTGGCTGTATCATTGCCATCATTGCGTAGCATCCCCAAAGGTCTTTTACATAAGGGAATCGGCACAGCCATAGAGGTATATAACCATGATGAGTACAGCATAGACTTGTTATTAAATAATATAAAAAATGTGTCCCACACGTTGCAAAGATGTTCAAAACTGCAAAGACTATGCAGTCACCACGTGCTCGTCCCTCTACAGACTCATCCGGGTTTTTAGCATGCTCAGTCTTACGGCTCCCAGTCCGGTGACCTGACTTTACCTTGCTTCCTAGTGATCTGATCCGCACCATAGCAAGAAACCGTACAGATCCTGAGAACTTTGCTATGGATGCTCAGGCAGTGTGGGTACTGCTGCAAGCACATCTCAAGATGTCAAATTAAGCTCTCTCTCATGAATACGAAATAATAAAGTCTCAGAAAAGAGCAAACTTACCCTCCTCATCCATTGGAAACACATTTAGAAGATAAAAGGCAACTGAATGAGGCGCTTTAACAGACAGGAACTTTTATATGGCGTTTAGCATATATGGGAAGTGAGACACCCTAAGGAATGGCAAGGATTTATTTACCAATCAAACTCTGATTTCAGTGTTTGCTTTGACTCATGAGATCTGATTGATATCTTTCCTTCACGCTGCTTGTTGTGTTGCATGCGGCAGTAATTGATACTTCTGCTTAATGATCCTATTCCTGTGCTCCTGCCCTGAGCTACAGAGGACCGCTTCGGCCCTCAGGGAGGTGGCAATGCTGGGGGAGACTGGGGGAGGTGGGTGGGGATGTGGGTGTAGGGGAATGCTGAGCTAATGTGGGGGTAGGGAAATGCTGAGCAAGAGTGTTAGTGAGTGTGGGGCAGAGGGTGTTGGTGACTGGGTCCTGCTCAGGGAAGGGGCAGGGAGGCTGAGGTTCAGCGGTGTGGCAGCGCTCATGGCTTGGGGCATTGCTGTAAGGGTGGGTGTGATCAGCGGGTACCCAGGAGAGAGGATGGCAAACGCTCAGAAAACATCTGGGGGTCACACAACATGTTGATCCCTCCAGCATCTTACTGGTGGCTCCAGTGGGAGATTTTCTAAGGAAGACATTTGCATCCGAACCAAAAGCTTGTCAAAAGTGAAGTGCCTGGCTCAGGTATTTTGCAAGGGTGCTAGAGATGCGCTGAGAAAGCTTAGGGACCCTGGAGAGAATTGTGAAGGTGTAAATGTCCTAACATTTAAATCCACTGTGGCTGGATTACTCCTCTAATGAAGGATTACGCTTCCAAATGCCTTCCTTCTGCATTTTCATATGCTGTGTCCTTCCTCTGGCTTGGAAAGAGCACCAAGCACCAGGGACTTCAGGGACACCGGTCTGGAGGGCTGCAGGGGATATGTGCTGTGGCCATGCCAGCAGTGCTGTCTGTCATGATGTCCACGCTGCAGCCTGCAATGATCCAGCTTGGCCCCATAGCATGGCTCTTGCAGGCTGGACTAGGTCCAGCCTAAGCAATTTTGCCATGGGGACAATGAGTCCCAGCTTTGGCAAGAGGCCACGTCTACCAGGAAGAAAGCAGTGCACAGGGGTGGTGGTGTTGCCCTCAGCATTTCAAAGCAGATTTCAAAAGGATGGCCAAGGAGGGATTAAGGCCTGGAGGCATAATTTTGAGTGTGTTGAGCTGCCTGAGGGACTTGCTGCTGGTTTTATGTCCTTCTGCCTGGCCCAGGGCTGATTCAGCTGACAAGCACGTGAGATTTACCCTCTGGGTAGAGCTGCTGTGAAGTTTGCAAAGCTGGGAGAGAAGTGGAAGGATGGCAGGGACGTGGACATTGGCATGGTGTTATCAGCCACCCGGGGCAGCAACAGCTGCTATTGAGGGTCAGCCCCAATCCCTGATCTTCAGGACTGAGCCTCATGGGTTTGGTCATGCCTCCCAGCAGCACTTCATTGCTCGACAGACACGGTCATTGGGTGCTGGTGCCTCAGAGGACTTAGAGCCATGAGCTGGGATGGCTGCACCATGCACCGGCACCTAAGGAAGCAGGGTGCTATGGGTGCTTGATGTTTTAGGCTGTGCTGTTACTCTATCATGGAGCCTAGGGGGAAAATGAAGGTGTAAACTCTGGGGCTATGAACTGGGTGGCTTTAGAGCTGCATCTACAGCAATGCACTACTGAACCCATCGTCTTCTTTACAGAGAGGAGTGAGATTGACTTGGCAGCGCTAGGTTAACACTTGGACTCGATGATCTTAAAGGTCCTTTCCAACCTAAACGATTCTATGATTCTATGAAATGTCTCATTAGATAGACTACTAACTTCCAAGTCCATAAGATGCTGGTTGAGAATACAAGAAAAAACAAACTCCCCCAAAAGGCAGCTTTGAGATATTATTACATTTATTAGAATCCTCTTTGGAAAAGAAGCAGAGCCTTATCAAAGGTATCTCAACACCAGCAGCAGGGCACAAGGCTGATACTCCTGGAGTTCTCTGCAGAGGGATGCAGCATCAAGGGAAGAGAAGAGGACATACTAGGAAGAAACAGTGAAACAGAGCTGCGTCTGGAGAGAGAAAGATGACGTGGCAGAGGCAGCACTGTTCTCGCTGAGTGCCATGGCCTCCTGTGGCTGTTACTTCTGGTGGCTGGGGGGCCAGTAGCAGGCCTGCTTGGTCTGATGGGACTCGATGTTGGGGATGACAATAGGGCATTTCTGCTGCGTGGACTGGCAGGACCCTCCACTGCCCCCTCCGGAGCTGATGATGATTGTGTGGCCTGAGGAACCGCCACTGCCACCACTGGATCCCCCCGTGC